ATGGTGCTTGCCTACTACTTTGCCCAGGAGCTGTGTGAGGTCAGGAACCGACCCGGAGGCGGTAGTTTACTGGTACTTGGAAGCTCTAATGTGGATGAATGCCTCCGCGGATGTAAGTATACTCTTTCGAAGAGGCCGATTTTTCATAGGGAAAAATGGCACGGTGGTCACATTATCATCACAAGACGCTAACTTCTAGAATAGATCTGACCAAATACGATTGTTCCTCTGCGGATCTCAACCCAATCGGGTCCATCAGCAAGGTTGACTTGAAGCGATTTATTGCCTGGGCTTCCGAAGAATTTGATCTGCCCATTCTCGAAGACTTCATTCATGCCACGCCCACAGCCGAACTCGAGCCAATCACTTCGGATTATGTATGTAAATTATTCTTCTGCTCTGACCTTGATACTGACATTCAAAAGACCCAAAGCGATGAGGTCGACATGAAGATGACCTACGCAGAGCTTTCCCGCTTCGGTACATTGCGGAAGGTCAACCACCTAGGACCCTACGGCATGTTCCTTCGTCTCCTTGAGGAGTGGGGTGGTGAGGGCAAGCTTAGCCCACGCGAGATTGGCGAAAAGGTGAGCCATACCTTTGAATCCCGCTTTCCGTCAATCGGTAGTTTCTTGCTAATAGTCTGGTAGGTCAAATTGTTCTTCCACTTCTACCAGATCAACCGCCATAAGCAAACGGTTGCTACACCCTCCTATCACGCAGAGAGCTATTCGCCCGATGATCACCGATTTGACCTTCGACCATTCCTGTACCCACCCGGGTTCGAGAGCTGGTCTTTCAAGAAGATCGATGGGCGGGTCGAAGCACTGGAGAAGAGGAGCAAGAAGAAGGAAGACGCGGGACCTCCAAACTAGATAAGAAAACCTGTACAGTGCGGAATATTACCCGCCGTGGCTCAGAGTGACTTAGATGTTGTCTGGTTAGACCCTTGAATGAATAAATTATGTCGGATTATGCCCAGTCGCAATTTTGGTTTGTCCAACGATTCAAGCAAGGCTGAGCACCCCTAATTGATGCGGGGACACGAGAGACTTTCCGGACTGCTATTTCAGCTCGTATCTGCAGACTCTCATAAAAATCTGCCCGTTACTGCTTATTTCATGAATTCACGGGCCAATTGTCTTGGCTACATACATACGGACCGGATCAGACTTGCTTTGTGTAATGGAAAGACACCTGGGCCTGCCAGGCAGAAGACGAGATACGTGAAGTTTTCCATGAGCACGGTCAGAAAATCAAGACGACGGCATTGGGCTATGGGTAGTAGGTGAGATCTTGGAGGAATGAGGTATAAATTCAACTTGCACGTCACTACAAAGATCTGGATATGTTTGTCAAGGACAATAAGTCGATGCAGATTGTGGTATGTGAGTTGAGTGAGTCCTACATCACGATAGGCCATCACATTAGATCTCAAGAATACGACGGATTATATCCTAATCTGGACAAAAGCATTATGGATTTGGATCTAATAGGATCCGTTGGATTTTCGCGGATAAAAAGGTCTCAAAGGTAATAGTAAACTAGTAGAAGTTCTCAAACTAATAGTGTGATCTCTGTCAGGGAGCAACATGTCTGCTTTTGTTAGCAATATATGCTTATTGGTTTTTTATGATATCGTAGAAACTGAAACGCTGTTATTTCTGCCTTATGTTTAATCAAGACCCATCCCTCTTTGACCAAACGTCACTGAATATTCTCCCCAGAAGGTAGCCCAGGGTTGGAGCATGTATTTAGACTAGTCTAGGCCACTGAATTGTATAAAATTGACTGCACGTAGACCTACACCGCGCAGATAAGACATAGCAGACTTAACATCACAAATCGCCTTAACGATCCAAGGAATAGAAAGACTAACCGGAGCGGCAGGCTGATAATCATGCAGTGAATACGTGGACACCGCTGAAAGCTGAGTGGCTTCAGATCAGCCAAATAGGCTCGAATGTTGGGGCCTGAGCGGGTTCCCCTCTTCTTTAGGCCCCGTTGAGAATTCAACATCAAATCCGAGTGGAAATAAGAACTTATAAATGGCGCTTTCTGTAGAACTCCGGAGTACATAGCTGCCGCTGGTCAAACGAAGACTACTAAGTAAGAGAGTGGTATGTTCGGCTGTTAACTTAGTAACTATGTACTTGCGCATTGAGTCTTCCTACTTTGATCTTAGTTGGGAGCGTACCTCGGAGTTAAATTTCGTTTCTGTTGTTGCTTTTTCTCATTAATCCCCGCTTTGCTATAAGCCGAGCTGATGATGAACCTCAGCTCATTGGTGATAGTTCATGCACGCTCGCTCTTAGGGCCCGTTCCGCCAGCCACATTCTTCCTCCGCAGTGCATGTGTCAAACATGAAGTTTGAGCATATGTTAGCGACAAAACGAGGTCATTCTATTGGTGCGATAGAGCTGCAGATCAAGGATGTAGATCCAGAGCTAAACCTGTCAGAATCTGACATACCCTTCCTAAGTTACCCACGAAGAGATTTCATTTTTCCATTTGGAAAGATCATCACCTATCGTAAGATCCAGAAAGAATTTATTTATGACCAACAACCAAAACGAAAATATTATTGCGGCGAACTGGTTTGCCATTACATCCCGTCTATGCATTAGCCCCATGCCATGGGAAGATCAATCGCATTATTCATAATGGCATTCGCGCTCTCAGGCCTCCTTTTTCCCGTTCACAGCTTGGCTAGCCATGTTCTTTCTCATCTTTGTCCAGGCATACGTGATGTTGGCTACATTAGGCAGATGCGAGTTGTCCCCGCCTCGCACAGGAATTGACTCTTCCTTCAAGATGCCCGCTCGAATCATTTCGTTTACGCTCGGATGAATTTCGGCATCTAAAGGTAGATCACGGGGGGCACCGAGGTTTGGTGGGAGTCGACGAGGGACCCATTTTCCCTTTTCCAACTCGAGACGAGTAAAAATTGGAAGGCATTCTGAGAGCAAGAGTCAGTCTATTTTCAATTATGGGTACTGGCAGAGTGTTTGATGTATGAACACTTACCCAGAATCCACCACATAATGACCATCACAAAGAAGGTTCCGTATCCAAATCGCAGTGTGTCGTGTGGCTGGTTAGTTTCTCTCCGAACTTCGAAAGCATTGGTGCCAGGCTCCTCCTTTCCGGGGAAGGCATTTTCTCTTTTCACCACGTCATCGACATTGAGGGTCTGGAATGATAGTTTGCTCTTCGAACCCTCCAGACTTAGGACTTCTTGGATCATCCAGTTCAAAGGCGTGTCCGAGAGAAGATGCTTCTGACCACGTTGCAGCCCATAGCCTCCCCCAACATCGCAGTGATTACCGGCAAACCATACCTCTTTTAGGTCCACAGGGTCTTTATTTTTGTCCATGAGAAACAGTGCCGGCTTGAACTTCAGCCTTCTCTCATGGATAGACACCGCGTGTCGGATATGACGGGCAGCTGGATTGGCAATCGACTTGTAGGAGGTGCGGTAGAATGGGATCTCAAACTGACCAACACTATTCACACAGTCAAAGAGACCGAGGAAATGAATTCCTACATCTGGGCGACAGAACGTAGTCTTGAAATTCTGCAGATACCCTTCCAGTTTGATGTCCTTGTCGGTGGGAGGGTCATTTGCGCGAGATTGCTGATAATTGCTAAACGTTTCCCATGCAAAATGGACCATTTCTTCATTGCCCTTGGAGAGAAGACCGAGATCTTGAATCATCTCTGCGAGAAAGCGGGCTGTGTACGCACCTCGCGAAAACCCAAAAATGTAAATGTGATCCCCAGGGATGTAATAGCGCATTGCAAACTGGTAACCGGCCAGAACATGACTCCGGAATGATGTACCAACTGCTTGGTCGATGGTGGTGATAATCTTGGATTTGATCTTGGGCCAAATGGTCAATAAGTTTCCGCTTGAACTTTCGCCTTTGACATAGGTGCCAATTCCGGCTAAAATAAACGTGAGCTTCACATTTCTATCGGCTTTACAAAGACATACGTTGGTAGTAGTGGAATTGACCAGGAGAGTGTCTCTCGAGCATCTGATAGATTTTCACAATGTTTGTGTCAGACTCATTGCCTTGGAATCGATTGCCCGTGCCATCGAAGCAAAGCACAATTCGACGTGGACCAGAGACTGAGGCAGGTAGCCCTGTTTCATTGGTCGCGTGCGGCATGATGATTCAACTTGAGGAAGCGATGCTCTACAGAACGTCTGTGATACTGCGAAGAGGTTTTATTCAAGATAGGAGGGGAATGGTTAGCCCCGAAGAGAACTGTTTACCGTCAATTGCGCCAGCCACTGCCAAAAATCCCTCAATTGGACTTGCATAGTGACAAGTCCGAGTTGCTGCATATATCCACTTTTATTGACATGTTCATGCAACAACCCCACCACTATGCACGTTCAGCTCAGCTGAATCGGGGCCAGATTCATCTGCTGCCCAATAGATACGAGGAGATTATGCATGGCGCGAAATCTGATGCGCTGAATCCCCAAGTCCGTGACTGGCTGAAATCTACTCCTCACTTTTGTCCTAAGGAATGACATCAATATGCAGTGTGATGAGAGTGTGTTCTGCGCATCTACTTCCCGATTACTTGGTCTCCAGTTCTATTGAGTTAGAGAACAACAGGTGAGTTTAGATCGTCTTTATGCTGTTTCTCGTTGCTGTTGCCCTCTCTCGTGTCTGCCGAATATGGAACCCTTGAACGTGGGAGGTCTTTCAGCCGATGGCTTTTGGCGCCTTGTGGACTGTGCAGATTATCTCCTCACTGAGGATGCAGTGAGAATGGTTACTCGGAATCTAGCCAACAAGATCACTCTATTCCAAATCATCGTACTGGCAGCGGCCCCAGACATGCATGCGGCAGCCATATAAAGCTCGCCGCTCTCTTTCTCGCGTCTTTCCACCAATTTATATTTTTCTTCGATATTCTCACACGTAATCAAATCTTCATTATAATCATTCTGATTCCTGAATCAGTCCCATTTCCTCGTAATGGGTTGGTTCAGTGAGGATGCGCCTAAGCCTAAGCCTAAGCCCTCCTGGGACTTAGGATGGACGTCCCTCCCTTGGACATCCCCTTCCCCCCCAACTCCAACACGAGGTATGCCATTTCTTTTTTGAAAGACCGAACAATAAATCAAAATCTTGAACTAACATGCAATAAGCACCATTATTTAGTCTTGGATCATTAAGTAACAATGGCTGGTGGACATCTCCAAAAGTTGAGCCCAAGAGCCAGGAATGGTATCTGGTCCTTGTTGAGAAATTCGGTATCAGTGGAACCATTGGCCTGGTTCTTGGCTTTGTTCTTTGCTTGATCATTCTGAACCTAGGTCAAAAGACCATTAGTCTCCCTTTCAACAAGATCCCATTTCTCGGCAAGCAGCTCTCTGCTAAACCGTCTCAGCGCTTGGTACCCAGGGGCACACAGTCTGCCCTGAAAAGCATCAAGGGAATTGCACCAAGTCTACTAACAAGACTGAATCCATTCAATTGGAGAATCTTCAACCTGCAAAAGATTGCTGAAGAAGAGGATGACGAGAAATACCAAGCAGGGGAGCCATATGGCGACCCCAGTGTGATGGCCACTGGTCTCGTCAAAGACCTCAAGTCTGTTGGATTGAAGGCAGGCGTGAGAGACCTTCAAACATTGCTCAAGGTGGTCAAGTCTAAAGGGAAGCCTGTTAATGATCGGCAGATGACGGTGAGTTAAGAATTCGAAGCATAGAACCATGAAGACAAATGTACTGATTTTATCTCAGATGGAAAAGATGATTGCGATCACATCAGCCCTGCCACGCCATTCAAAAACGCGAAAGAAGTTGTCGGGTATCATCATCGACAGCCTATGGCAAAGCCTGCAGCATCCTCCTCTCAGCTACCTCGGCGACAAGTTCCAGTACCGAACCCCCGACGGAAGCTACAATGTATGTTGAGAATATAAAATCTTCTATCTCTCTGGGATTCTAACAAAAAATCAATACAGAATCCTCTCCAACCAGATCTTGGTAAAGCTGGGAGCCCCTATGCTAGAACGGTTCCGAAGCTGAAGCATTTGCACGGTGTTCAACCTGATCCAGGACTTCTCTTTGACTGTATGTGATCAAATAATTCCTTGACGATAGGTATACATGCTAAATTGTTCAAGTGCTCATGGGTCGGACTGATGACACGTTCAAGGAAAACCCAGCTGGAATCTCTTCGGTTCTATTCTATCATGCCAGCATTATTATTCATGGTAAGGAAACCCCGAGAACAGAGGTTTGTGGCGAGAACTGATTGACAACTTCAGATGTGTTCCGCACAAACCGCTTTGACTCAAATATCTCGGACACATCTTCCTATCTTGATCTTGCTCCATTGTATGGTTCGAGCCGTGCTGATCAGGAGAGCATTCGGACAATGCAAGGTGGTTTCCTCAAGCCGGATACGTTTGCTGAGAAGCGACTCCTTGGATTGCCCCCAGGTATCAATGTTATGCTTGTCATGTATAGCCGGTTCCACAACTATGTCGCCGACGTTCTTCTGAAGATCAACGAGAACGGTCGTTTTACTTTGCCACCAACCAGAACTGAGGAGGCTAAACAGCGCGCTCTGGTAAAGCAGGATGAGGATTTGTTCCAAACAGCGCGACTGTGAGAGTCCCATTTCCAGCAAGAAGGATATTTCTGACGATAGAACAGTATCACCAACGGTCTCTATATTAACATCTGTTTGCACGATTATCTTCGAGGGCTGACAAACACTCACCACTCTGCAAGCGACTGGACCCTCGACCCCCGTATTGCGGTGGAAAGGCATTTTGACCCAGATGGCGTCCCGAGAGGTGTTGGTAACCAAGTATCTGCAGAATTCAATCTTCTGTATCGGTTCCACTCAACGATCTCCCAGCGAGACGAGAAATGGATGAATGAATTCCTCAGAAGCCTGTTCCCAGGCGACAAGCCCCTTGACCAGCTCACACCTCAGGAATTCATTCAAGGCCTATTCCGATTTGAGCAGACTATCCCGGAAGATCCTTCCAAGCGTGAGTTCTCAGGTCTCAAGCGTGACGAGCACGGTCGGTTCAACGACGGGGACCTAGCAAGGATCATGAAGGAAAGCATGGAAGACCCAGCGGGCCTGTTTGGTGCCAGAATGGTTCCTAAAGCTTTGCGCATTATTGAGGTCACTGGTATACTCACGGCACGAAAATGGCAGCTCGCATCTTTGAACGAGATGCGTGATTTCTTCAAATTGAAGCGCCATGATACCTTCGAGGATATTAACCCTGACCCTGAGATTGCTGATCTCCTTCGAAAGCTGTATGATCATCCTGATATGGTTGAAATGTATCCCGGAATGTTCCTCGAGGATGCTAAGCCTCGTATGGATCCAGGTATGTTTAACTTCAGTTCTTGTCCAATATCAAACTCGCTAACCTGTTGTATGTAGGTTGCGGTGGATGTCCACCATACACTGTTGGAAGGGCTGTCTTCAGTGACGCGATTACCTTGGTACGATCCGATCGTTTCTGTACAGTGGTAAGTCTTCTTCTTCTTCTTCTTCTTCCCTTTCCCAAAAGTCGAAGTGTATCCGGCTAATATGAGAGCAGGACTACACCGCGTCGAACCTGACAAGCTGGGGCTTCCAAGAGGTGCAACAAAACCTTGACATGTAAGGTCACCCTCTTTCTGTTATAGTATAGCTACTGACTTACAGTCCGTAGCATGGGAGGATCAATGTTCCATAAATTGTTCCAACGCGCTCTACCAGGATGGTTCCCCTACAATTCCCTCCACACCACACAACCAATGTTCACTCGAAAGATGAACGAGGAAATTGCAAGGGAAATCGGGACCATTGGTCAATTCACGCTGGCCGATCCAGCACCGCCACCTGTTCCTGTCATCTTGACCAAGCACTCGACTATAACCAAGGTGCTCAAAGATCAAGCTAATTTCCGCGTCCCGTGGATCAAGTGGTTGAACGACATTGCCCCGGGTAGGACATTCAACAGCGCCATGCTGGCGGGAGATCTTCCCATGAACACTGCGCAGAGAAATCTAGTTACCGATATTATGTTCAGTCCGGCAGAGTTTATGCAGTTGTTCTCTGCGACGGCAATGTCTGTTGGAAGGGAACTCATCGATAGAGAAACTTTGAATTTGAAGAGTTTGGACCAGATCGATATTGTTCGCGAGTGAGTCCGACTTTTGCTTTGTTGGCTGTTAATGGATTGACCAACAACTGACCAATAATTTAGTGTCGCGATTCCTTTGAATACCCGTCTTTTGGCTGATTTGTTCGCTTTGGATCTCAAGACGCGTGAGAACCAGGGTGGAAGCCTGAGCGGCGCAACGCTGTATAAGTATCTTCTGGATGTTCGCACATTTGTCTTCAACAACAATGATCCGGCTCTCGCTTTACAGCGCAGGGATGCTGCTCGCGAAGGCGTTGAAGCCCTGACGGAGACCGGCTTGAAAGTGATCTCTGGCGGAGGCTCTCGATCTCTTTTCTCGAGAATTCCACTCATTGGATGGCTGTTCGGCCCTAAAAAGGCTCAAAGAAGCAAGCCAACTGTTGGATCTCTGCGCTGGTATGGTCAGAATGTCATGAGAGAGATCATTGCTGCTGGAAAGTCTCCCGAGGAGACTGTCGATATCAGCTGGTTGACTGCTGTCGGTGGTGTTGGCGCCCCAATCGGAGTGGTTTGTCTCTCCAAAATTTTAGCATCAGAAGCTGTAATGTGGACTAACCATGCTATCTTCACAGTTTGTTGATGTTCTTCAGTTCTTCCTTAAAGAAGACAATTCCCACCACTGGGAGGCCATCCAGGGTCTCATCAGTCATTCTGACGTGAATTCATCAGATAACACACTGCGACAGTATGTGCTTGAGGCGCAGCGCTTGACAAGCGGCCAGCGAAACCTCCGCATCTGCGCTAGCGAAACGACGATCGATGGCAGGACTTTTAAACCCGGCGACGCGGTAGTGTCACTACTTGTAAGCACCACACCCTGATATCGCCCAACAAAGGAAAAGAGATGCAGGTGTGCTAAAACATCAATCTTGACAGGGCCAAGCATGCATGGATCCAGAAGTCGTTCCACACCCCCATAAATTCAAACTCGGCCGACCTGCCAGCGCGTACATCCACTATGGCTATGGTGCGCACGAATGCATTGGCCGGGAATTAACCCTGGCCTTTGTGGTAACTCTTGTCAAGCTTTGCGCTGGCCTGAAGAATCTTCGCCCTGCACCAGGCGACATGGGGGTCTTGAAGCAAATCACACTTGGCACAGAACGATGCTATCTCAACGACAGCTGGTCCCACCTGACCTTTGATCCAACGAGTAAGTCTTACCTCCTAAACCATGCCTTTTGATCTTTTATACTCATGTCACACCTTGTAGCATGGAAAGTCCACTTTGAAGGCCGCGGCAAGGGTGTCTACAAGCATCCCAAAACACCCGTTACTGCTGGTCGGGATTTAAATGCCTTGTCCAACTCACTCATCCAGCAACAGAAAGACTTCTTGCTGGCAGCTACTAAGATTACAAACGGTCAAGGTACTGTACACTCTCTCAAGGATGATGTGCCTCTTGTTGCCGATGAGACGAACGGTGAACTTGACGGGGCGACTGACCTTGAGGGCGATTCAGACTCTGTGGTGCACCAGATCATCCCTGCTTTTGAGGATGAACAACATGAGACAACCAATACTGTGCATGAGGTTAGCTTCTCGTCTTTCAGCCACTCTTATGAGAGGGATCATGATAGAGACGTGAGTTATGGACTAACGCGGGATCAGTAATTTTGGATGTGTTTGCTTTTATTTACTTTTTGTATTCGCGGTCTGTTCCTTTTTATTCCCAATTTGCAAATTACTTGTTACTCATTGTTCAAAATATTCATGACTGTTCAGGCGCGTCTGCCAGTAAAGATCACGAAAATAAACAATTCTGTGACAGGGACCGTCTTTATCACACGGAAGTAATATTAGTAGCTGCATTAGCTGCAAAGGGTGAGATCTTAACGCCCGCTATACTTAGTGGCGGCTTTTGGGTTCCGTTAGCTACATGCAAATGTTTCACTTGAAGAGCGCTTCGCGGGAGGAGATCATTTGTTAATGCAGATCCTCACTCTAATAATATGTTTCTTGGTTCAATCGCATTTAGCAACTAGCATGTTACGCACACACTCAACTTTCCCTTGTTAATACATCCCGCTATACCAGCAAATCCTCCATAGGCAGCGATGCTCTACACCGAACATATCTCCCAATTATCGAAGGGGGATGGATTGGAAGTTGTTCCGGGATTCGAGATGGCGTCTGTGAAGAGCTATAGCGGACTCCAGGTTGTTCCTGAGACGGAAAAAGAAGTCAAGCCAACAAGAGGAGGATTACACTATGTTGAGCCTGATTACGTTCCTCTCGAAAATAATGATAAAGTTGATCCCCCACAAGGCCGAGACCGCAAAAGGATATGTGGAGTGAGGTCTACAATATTCTGGCTGTTGTTGGTGGTTGCGATATTGGTTGTTGTCATTGCTGGTGTGGGCGGAGGCGTTGGAGGATATTTTTTGAACAAGAATTCAAGGTAAGTTCTATGTCGGTCATCCATTGATACGTGCATAGCTAAGTATCACATAGGAACTCTGATTCATCGACACCCGCCTCCAAGACCTCTATATTATCCCCAAAGACAACGGCATCCTCGGCGAGCACAACATCGTTGCTGAATCAACATCGTCAATTCCTGATTCAACTACCACATCCACTGCATCGGAAACATCATCCGGCCCAGTCACATCGGGAACATCGGGAATAGCTTCAAATCCATGCCCTGGTCAGAACCTCACCAGAATCACGGGCTCTAATGGTGCTATTTTCACATTGTTGTGTGCTGTGGACTGGCCGAGTGGTGACGGAGCAGCCAACGGCAAAGGGAAAGTAGGTGACTTATCCAGGTCAACAGAATATACATTGCCCTCTTGCATTTCACAATGCGTGGACTGGAACGCGGACAGTTCCAAGGCTAGGACATGCAAAGGGGTGGTGTATAGTGCCAATTTGACCGCTGCTTACGACGGAGGACAGGAGGGAAATTGCTTCTTGAAGGATCGAGTGGGCAAATATTTCCCTAATGCGGATACTTCAATGGCCGCAGGTCTATTGGGCTGAACGTGTACAATTATGATGATTTATGATATATAAGCCTGAGAATAACAACCCATTCATTCCAAGTTCCTCGGCCGAACTTGGCAAATGACATTCTTCGATCGATTGAACCATCCCTTGTGCACCTCCCATCGATCAACCAATATCTCAAAGTTGAACTCTCGCAGGATGGTAGGGAGTAATTTATACATCTCAGTTTCGCTGACAGTCCGACCAAGGCACATCCGCGGTCCATGACCAAACTGTAGCATAGATTTCTCCATCTGCCGAACAGTTTCGGCGTCTTGAAGCCATCGCTCGGGGATCCATTCATGAGAATCTTCGCCAAAGGCCCGCTTATCCACCTGCACAGCACCTGCAGTCATGAGGACTTCCACATCGCCAGGGACAAAGGTACCACATAGCTGCACACCTCCGGAGGGTACCTCCCGTGGGAATCCAGCTCCTGTCGACGGATGTATTCTCATACTTTCCATCACAACGGCATGAAGGTATGGGAGCTTCCGTGCGGCACTGAAGCGCACCGGATTCTCGAGACGTCCTTGCTCAAATGCCGTATCAATCTCCTGTCGCAGCTTCGCCAACTTGGTGGGATGCTTGTGCAAGTGGTAGAATATGGCCGTCAAGGCTGTGGCAGTCGTATCACTGCCCGCCCAGATCACGGACCAGACCTCGACTACAACGTCTGAGAAGTTCCAGTTGATGTTTTCACCTTTCTCGCGCACCATCTCCAGCAGACCGGAAAGCATATCAGTCTTAGGGTAGTCACCTCCTTCTTGCATCAACTTCCATCGCTCGCTGGCGGCCTTTTTAGCCTGCGTGACAGTATCCAGCATACCCACAATACCATCTCGGGTGTTCCGAAACACCAATTGAGAGAGCAGATATAGAGACTGGAAGCCCCGTGGCATATAAGTGATGGAAGCGCCCACATCGGGCATAACGCTCATGAGATAGCACCAGCGGTTATAGTCCTTCCCGTCACGGACCATGCCGAATCCACCCTCACGGCCATGAAAGATCTCGCCCATCACATCAAAGGTGTAACGCTCTAGCCAGACGCTCATATCCATGGATTCGCCAGACTCGGAAAGGTTCTTCATTTGCTGGCGGAACAAGTCAATCAGCCTGTCGATACAGGGCTCGTATTTGAGGACATTGCTCTGGGAATACATGGCACCGACCAACCGCCGTCTCTCGGCAGCCTTTGTCTCGTCCCGCTCAGAGAAGTTGTCCGTACGAGCATTCGGGATATGCATGTTAAATCCCTCGTAAAGACCACCCTTCCGCCACGCGCGACCATTCTTGGTCCCAAACACGGTCTCAATTGCGGCGGGATTTCCCACAGCAAGGTGGTTTGGACCTATACGCACAAAGTCGCCATACTTTTCATGGAGTTCATGGTGGATATCATTTGCTTTCCCGAGACGATACGTTTTGAACAGCCATAGCGAAGTAACTGAAGCCCAAAATGGACCTGGGAAATGACGTAGAGGGTGGAAATATCGGTTGTATATGACGATGGACAAAACATAGACCAGATATGCTGGTATTAAGAACTGGATACCCAGCCGGAGTCCTTCGGTGGTCAGGCGAAGTGATATCATTTGGAGTTGAAGCTTGAAATGACAGCACACGTGCAAGGAGATATATTCAAGAGAAAAGATACGTCTCGGAGATGCGTGGGCCTAAATAAGTCCCACATCACATCTAACGTATCACATAAGAACTAAGTTATCACATAAGAAAGGGGAAGTTTCGGTTGCCTCTGGAAATGTCGATCAGTGGGGCTGCACCATTTGCGCTTTTGACGCGTCCAAAACATGGAGGTACTTGCTTGAAGATCATTGGATGTCTCAATGACATGTATCTGGGTTCTGATGAGCAGTTCTAAAGATCTTAGCCACAGTGGAGAGACGAATAAGGGCACGGTTGCCCACTATATATGAACGTAGACGTGCATAGATATATTAATCCTGTGATCGCAGTCCAGATCTCGTAAATACAATATTGTTGCTCATTCAATATGCGACCGGGGGGAGACAGGCTCTAACTAGTTCGTCTGGTGCACTTCGGCCCCCGGGGCCAGGCTGCGCCCGCGTATTTCGATTTCAGGCGCGAACCCTGCATGCCCCTGAGTCTAACAGATTAGCGTATTATATACCGGCAGATTAAGAAATTATTCCACGTCATCAAGACCTCCTCAATAAATTTACGCGATCATATATGGGTTAGAAGTATAAGAATAAATCAGACGAAGAAATCCACGCTATTGGCAAGTAGTCCAAGGCGCCCTAACGACTGAGTCACAGTTGAGGACCTCAACGCGGCCCCACGTCCTGTATTGGATCTTAGTACGGACGTTTACTTCGTTTTATACTAAATTCCTAGCGGAGTACATGTGAATGCTATAATACCTACTTCTGATTAGTGGTTTTGGTTCTGTCGCATGTTTCCCGTGTCACCTGCTGCGCTGAGCCTCATCCCTTCTCCATAGGGCTTAGACCCCGTACAGTTGGTGATGCATTTAAGAAATTCTTCCCTTCCATCTCTTCCACTTCTCTACCTTTTCACTTGGATAGAAACTAGACACGTTCATCATGTCTGACCGCAAGGAACCCACAGTGGCCACCCCAATGGCCAGCCCGGCTGCGACTGGCCCAGCTCCTACTGATTCGGCACCAGAGACAACAGCAAGCACAACGGTACCAGCAGCTGATACTGTCACAGCCATCCCTGAGACAAGCCCTCCCCAATATGAACAGTATGTGACTCATTCAAGTTCGGACGTTCAAAACTGACGTACGTAGAATCCCCAGAGATGTGATCGCACCAGCACCAGCGGTCACCTCTAACACCGCAGACAACAACACACTGGGTCCTGTACCGGAGAAGATAGCACCGGCTGCAGTCACTCCGAATATTATCCCCCTCAATCAGTTGGGCGAGGCGCCAGGATACGTGAACTGTCCATTCTGCTTCCACAATGCTATGACCAAAGTCGACAAAACGAGCACCAGTTCCACATCGTAAGTCTAAATTTCATAATCTGCGCGTTGTGTTCTCGATACTGATTATTGACAGTATGGCTGCCGTTTGTTGCTGTCTCTTCGGTGGCATCATCTGCGCTTTTTTGCCCTACTGCATGGAGATGTGCCACGATTGCCACCACTTCTGTGGAAACTGCAACAACAAAATCGCAATCTTTCCAGATGAAGGCACAGTGCAGGTCTTTACGCCGGCCAACCCTGCCCCGGGTCAGGGTCAGGGTCCTGTCCACACAGCCCCCGCGCCCGTTGAACCTCCACAGGCACAGCCAGTCATGAAGAACTAGGGAATACGAGGCCTGAGTGCTACCGTGTCCTTGAAGTTTCCTTTTGTTGTCTTTGTTATGTCCTAGCGGCCAATTGGCATTGAGATATTTTGTTGCCCCTTTGTGGCCATTCATGTTAACACCAGATACGAGACCGGAAAATACCCTTAATTTCATCGTGGTGAGTATGTCGGGGGTTGAGTAGCGTTCTTCCTGATATGCTACCTAGCCAATGCATATCTATTATATCTCCCGCCATAGAAGAGAGACTGAGCCCAAATTGAACTCGAGGGTAGGAAAATAGACAAACGGCCCCCAGTGGAGTACAAAATGCCTAACCCCAAGCTAAGCCATGCTCGGGAGCCGCCCCGTGCCCCCAACGAATAGTTTGCCAGTTCGCCCTAACTAGCGACCCCTAGTACGCCTTAGTTTGCGTGTGCAATGAACTCGTGGGAACTATTCTCGTTTTGGGAAGCTCAATACGAAGGGGTAAAGGTTCAATGTGAGTTGGGTGCCTTGGCAGACTTGGCATTGGGGCCGAGGCCAACGATGTGCGCCACTTGAAAGGACCCTAAAATGAACAGAAAAGTGTACTTTGCCTTGCGAAATTAGCCCGGGCCTTAGCATATTAAACATCATCCCCTGGCCCCCAATCCTCGCTTAGCACCAAATACATAGCCGCGTCGATACGGCCAGCTGTACGCAACACCCTTCTACGAAGCAAGCTATCGATTATGAATATGTGCGGTTATTTTGTGCCAGAAAATATCTCAATTTGAAGATTTGATGGGATGATACATGTTTCGAACCATGCGATAGAGCCCTAGTTCGCGACTTAGTTCTGCGGGCAGCTGACAGCTTTGACTCCCGTCAATGCTATGCAAGTTACGCAACATGCCTTGCTGTTGCTGGAGATATAAGTGATGAAAGCTTCGTCTGGTCAGGTCGGATGCCTCGACATCATAAGTATTCAAGCACTGATCGAGTCTCACAAAGAGATAGTGCTATGCAGGATGTAACTCGGCAAGCAATACTTTCGAGGCTGTCCGGCATCAACGACTGAACATGATTGAGTATAATGATCTTGAGTAACAGACAGGAAGAGACAACCCAGTGAACTATACACATGTAGACAAGTTGTGGCCTGAGGCAGAAACGACACTGGCTCCCAATTCGATGATGCATGCATTGCCTGACGAAAACGCCCAATGGTACGTTTACTTCTTCACGTCATTGACTTGCCAGACAATCAAGATGTTATCCTTATTATTAAAAAGCCGAGATATGACCTGGATTCCAGGTTTGCCCGCTTCTCTCACCTTTGCATCTCTCTCCAATTTCAGTGTAAATCTACATTCACCGGATCTCCGGAACAACATCACACAGGGTTTCCAACGCCCTTGCATACTGTGAAACCATCTTTGTTCGTTGGAGTTACACAGCATGGCACCAAATACAGGCGAGAAGAGTATCTCTGCTTATGGAGAAGCTCGCTCGACGGTGGAGGGAAAGCCTCTTGATGCCGAGGAGGTTCGGAAGATGAATGCTTACTTCCGTGCTAGCATGTACCTTTGCTTGGGCATGCTGTACCTTCGTGAGAATCCTCTTCTTACCGAACCTCTTAAATTGGAGCATCTCAAAGCTCGACTCTTGGGTCATTGGGGATCTGATGCCGGCCAATCGTTTACTTGGATTCACATGAACCGACTCATCAAGAAGTACGACCTTGATGTGCTCTTTGTTTCTGGTCCTGGACATGGCGCCCCTGGAATTATCTCGCAATCTTATCTTGAGGGGGTCTACTCCGAGGTCTACCCTGACAAGGCCGAAGACACGGAGGGCATGCAGAAGTTCTTCAAGCAATTCTCGTTCCCCGGTGGTATTGGAAGCCATGCAACTCCCGAGACACCTGGTAGTATCCATGAAGGTGGTGAGCTGGGATACTCACTCTCGCATGCTTTTGGCTCAGTCTTCGACAACCCAAACCTCATCACTTTGACCATGGTAGGAGACGGCGAGTCAGAAACTGGCCCACTCGCCACCAGTTGGCACAGCACCAAGTTCCTGAACCCAATTGCTGACGGTGCGGTTCTTCCTGTCCTCCATCTCAATGGATACAAGATCAACAACCCTACCGTTCTTGCACGAATCAGTCATGACGAGCTGACAGCCTTGCTCGTTGGCTACGGATGGAAGCCCTACTTTGTCGAGGGCAGCGACTTCGACACCATGCACCAAGCCATGGCAGCTACTCTCGAACAGTGTGTTTTGGAGATCAAGAAGCACCAGAAGCAAGCCCGAGAGACGAAGACGCCCTTCAGACCCCGTTGGCCAATGATCGTTCTCCGCACCCCCAAGGGATGGTCCGCTCCACGAGAGGTTGATGGCCACCTGCTTGAGGGCTTCTGGCGCGCGCATCAGATCCCCATCACCGATGTGCGCACCAACCCTCCTCATTTGAAATTGTTGGAGACCTGGATGAAGGGTTATAAGCCAGAAGAGCTTTTCGATAAGAATGGCACATTGATCCCAGAGCTCAAAGAGCTGGCACCCACTGGTAACTCCCGGATGAGTGCCAACCCAGTTGGCAACGGAGGTCTCTTGCGCCGACCTCTCAACATGCCTGATTTCCGGGAGTATGGATTCACGGACATTGTCCCAGGCTCCACTATCAAAGGAGGCATGGCAAACATGGCCAAGTTCCTCCGTGACCTAGTCGCCCAGAACATGAAGACTTTCCGGCTCTTCGGTCCTGATGAGACTGAGTCGAACAAGCTTGCGGAGGTGTACAAATCTGGCAAGAAAGTCTGGATGGGCGATTACTTCGAAGAAGATAAAGATGGCGGTAACCTAGCGCCTGACGGTCGTGTGATGGAAATTCTCAGCGAACATACTTGCGAAGGGTGGCTAGAAGGCTACGTTCTTTCTGGTCGACACGGTCTGCTGAATAGTTACGAGCCGTTCATCCACGTCATTGACTCGATGGTCAACCAGCACTGCAAATGGATTGAGAAATGTCTTGAAGTTGAATGGCGTGCCAAAATCGCCTCGCTGAACATTCTCATTACTGCCACCGTCTGGAGACAGGACCACAATGGTTTCACCCACCAGGACCCCGGCTTCCTCGACGTGGTCGCCAACAAGAGCCCGGAAGTAGTCCGCATCTACCTCCCACCCGATGGTAACACCCTCCTCTCAGTGATGGACCACTGTTTCCGCAGCGTGAACTATGTAAACGTCATTGTTGCCGACAAACAAGAGCACATCCAATTCCTTAACATGGACGAAGCAGTGGCACACTGCACAAAGGGTCTCGGAATCTGGGACTGGGCCAGTAACGACCAAAACTCCGAGCCCGACGTCGTAATTGCATCATGCGGCGATGTCTCAACCCACGAAGCCCTAGCCGCAACGGCCCTCCTTCGCGAGCACCTCCCCGATCTAAAAGTCCGCTTCGTCAACGTAGTCGACCTATTCAGACTGATCTCAACCCTCCACCATCCCCACGGCATGTCCGACAAAAAATGGAAAGCAATCTTCACCACAGACAAACCCATCATCTTCAACTTCCACTCATACCCGTGGCTCATCCACCGGCTCACATACAATCGTCCCGGTCAGCACAATCTGCATGTGCGCGGGTACCGCGAGAAGGGCAATATCGACACGCCCTTCGAGCTCGCTATGCGCAACAACACGGATCGGTACAGTCTTGCTATTGATGCCATTGATTTGGTTCAGTCGCTTGGTAATACCGCTGCTGGTGTTAGGGAGAAGCTGATTAATGCGCAACTGGCGGCTAAGGAAGAGGCGTTCAATAATGGTCTTGATCCTGAGCATATTCGCAACTGGTCTTGGCCTTGGCCTAAGAAATAGGTGGTGTCAGTTGGGAGTAGCTGTGATTTTCCCTAGGCATATTTCCATAATCATGTATTTTATTCTTTTTTCAAACGTTATTTTCTGGCACTTCTCCTACATTGCTTCCTTGGCCATCTTTTACCATATTCTCCAAGCTATAGGAAGAGAGTTAGCATATTCTTGGGGACAGCACAAGCTGCCCTGAATTTAGCAGGCTACCATATCCATTCAAATCGGCATTTGATCTTGATTTGGTGTGATCGAATATTATCTTCTATACATCAGCTGCATATCGTTTTTTGGCCTTCAAGCTGCTCTGTGGCCTCTCCCAGCGAAAACAAGACTGCCCTTTCTCCACCAGTTTGTCTAAATCGCGGGCTCGTTGTCCAATTGGGTCACCATCCACAGTCTTGCCTAGCTCGAAAGGTACATTGTAGTCGGGCGCAGTTGGTAGGTCTGGCCATGTAAATCGGTTGGGTGCATTGAGATATCGTTCCATGGCAGCATAGTTGTCATCTACACTATTGTGTGGGCCACTACAGTAATCCAAGTACGAAATGGAACCAGTCAATAGTCATAGTCATACATGAGTTAAGAAAACCAAAGAGCCATCATCACGCCAGCCCAATTTTCCTTTAAACGCACCAATAGAAAGATAAACCAAGAAGAGATATGCCGCCCAAGTTACTCACTGCGAGGAGCAGAGAGTGGGGGGAAAAGAAAGGAAGGGAAAAGAAGAGTCAAATAGAATGTCAGAAGAAAAAAAAGCGTCCAGTCAACTGCATGACGCTACCGGTATCAACTCTTCTATGTCTGCTACTCTTTTTATAACTTTTGCCTTCTATGTCCATGTGGGTAGAAGGAAAATGCGATTTTCATGCCCGAGACAAGAAAGAGATTGATTGGAAGTGAGAAAACGGTGTCCTGGGAATTTGCTGGTTCTTATTGACAGCAGGTGTCCGCAACGAAACATATGGCCATACGCCTTGCACGATGCAGAAAGATGGGAATGGAAGCGGGAATAGCGGATTAAAGACGTGAAGACCACGTAGAAGTAGATGGCGTAAAGTAGGTCATGGATGTTCAGTAAGATAGTACATATCGTGTAATGAAGCGAGAACAGATGGCGGGACGGATCAGCCAAATCGACCGACGGGGATGTCGTGGCGATGAAGATCCTTCGACCACTCCGGTGCAATCTTGTCGCGCTCGTACAGCAGGCCACAGTTGTGGCAGAGTGTCTGGAAGGAGAATTGTTAGACAGATCTCACTGCAAAATGTAAATCGACAACTTACCCGAGGACCGTCTGGGCCATCTCGTACAGCCCATACTGCAGTACCCCACACCATGCAGTTGTTGCATCGCCAGCTCTGTCGCTCCCTGCAGATAAATATTAGTATATGGATTCCGATACACAGGCGCCGAGACAACGTACCAGTCAGAAAGCGTTCCACCTCCGCCACCATATCCAGCTCCTGATCCGGTGTCTGGAGTCCCACGACCACCAGGTGTGCCACTTCTGCCTGAAGGGCTCAAGCTGCGGAATCGGCGCTTCCGCTTATTCCGCTCACCACGACCAAGAGGAGTCTCGCCGCTGTCGACTTCAAAGTAATTACCATTTTGCCTGGATGCATCAGGCGTGATACCTGTAGTTGAGGAAAATCTGGCAGTTTCTCGGCGGAGACGTCTGATCTGGCGCTCGCGATCACCTTCTCGTCGTTCAATTTCTTCTTTGGACAAAGTTTCGACCTTGGGGTCCCATTCGTCACAGAGAGTCTCTGGCTCGTATCTCCAGCCTGCCTCAACACCATTTGCCGCCAAGTTATCGATTTCGTTCCCGTAGCCGTTCAATCCAGTAACAAGAGTACCGCCTTCGCAGACTTCCTTCTTGAACTTCAAGACGGCTTCGTAAATGCCGTGCGCGATTGCGCTGACCCATTCACCACCCAAGCTGAGGTCGGCGCAAGTGACGCGCGCAAATTCCTCGGCCATACCAGGTGGATGTAGTAGAGACCACTCAAACTTGTCCGTGTACAGCTTATTCTGCAAGTTGATGTTGAGATTGATCAAGCATCGGTAGGCATCATCTGGGTTCAAAAGACTGTCATTGACGAACGCAACCTTGGTGACAGTCACGGTAGTTGCATTGGCTGGAGCTGAGGTATCGGGGGTTGCAGGATTGGGAGTTGCAAGGTTCGGTGTCCCAATATTGGGGGTTGCAATATTGGGTGTCCCAGCATTAACAGCCGCGGGCGTCATGGAGGTGTCTCGGGATGGTTCGGTTTGAGGGGGGGGGTTTGGCAGTAAGCCTGGATCTGAGCTCTGGAAGAGCGGGTGAAGTGCGACTCCAGCGTATTCCTCCAGCTGCTGCCGAATCTGGTTGCTGATAGTCATAGTCGTGGCTTGCGGGTTGGGAAGATCGAGATCGCGAACGAATCCGATTGCAAACTCCTCAGGCGTAGAAAGAGATTCGTGAAGGTTCCAAAGAAAGGTGTCCTTGATTCTGAATGGGGGTAATGGGTCGGGTCTGCGATATGCAGGAAGAGTCGGATTGATGCTAGGATCCACGATGGTGCGCGGGAAGGGGAAGGGCTCGAGGGGTTGATGCGCGGGGACTTCCACGTCGATTCGAATAGGAACAAGGGTGAGAGGGAGCTGCGCTTGGATCTGAAGTTGATCGGCACATCTAGAATCACCGCGCTATATGTTAGCCAAATGAACAGAAAGGCGAGACAGAGGGTCATGACAGCGATGGCCAGATGAATCTTGTCAATGGGGAACATACGCTGGTCGCAGCATCCGCTTGATCATCCATTCTCGGAAGAGACCCTGTACTTCTACTGGCTCATGGACTTCTTTGCCCAACTTCTCTGAGTACGGAATCAACTTGTCGGCAGTTGATTCTTCGCGCCGAAGGCTTCTCAGACCCGTTGGTCGCCGTGGACCATCGCTTTCATCAAAGTCTTCATCGTCGAATCCATCCTCCGCGTAATTGATAGCTGTAGTCCCACGCTTCGTGGTGCGCGGCGTCGGGCCGGTCTGCGACGGAGGGTTGACGGGTGTGAGCAACGCGTTTCCATACTGGCGCACGCGCGGAGGGTAAGAGGTAATATAACCTCTGAGAGGGGACATGTTGGCGATTTAATTGCACGGGAACATGCCCCTTCGAGGGTTCAGTTGAGGAGAGGAGAGCTTGCGATGCTCGTGTTTGGCGTTGGAAGGGCTGATCACCAAAGGCAGAATTGAGGTTGGTCCAAGCACAAAGAGTGGTGACAACGGCGACTTGAAGATTGTCAAATGAGAATGCAGCAATTCAGGCGAATCTCAATTCCACTCTCAGATTTAAAGACAGGATCGACTGGGAAGACTCGCCCTGAGATCAGTCTGCGCAAGTCGCGTTTTGCCCATTTCGACGCTAGTCCCATTTCCATGTATCACGTGATGCATGCCTTAGGCGACGTTTCTGCATAAGATCAGTAACTTCACATTCTTGGTCTTTGTTTACTTGGTGCACGCCAATTGGGCCTGACAAACGGACTTGATATAGGGGGAAAGCCAACATTGCTAATTTTTGATCCTTAACCATATATTCAAAGGTTCACGGCCAAAATAACTACTGTATCCAAGAGTATCTCACCAATTTGAGTAGGAAAATCAATATACTGAAAGGAATGAAAACACCAAACTGCTACGTACGCCAGCCCTGCTGTCGGTGAGGTAGGCTTGATCAGCGGGATTGCAAAACGGTATAAAATGCAACCCTAGAAAAGAAAAGACGAAACAAATTTCGAGGCGCGAGACCGGGGAATGATAGTCGCAGTACAAATGCAAAGAAGAAAAGAAATATTCAGCGGAGGCCAATAACGCTCTGTAAACGTATTAGCTTTTATATTGGGCGAGTGCAATGAATGGATTGATGTCTCACCATTTCCAAAGTCCATACACGTCGGATCCAGACCTTGACCTGTCCTTCGGCGCCCTCCACATCATCGAGCTCAATGCCCTCCCACCAGCATCGCCGAGCAGGCTTCCTCCAGAACAGAAGAAGCTTCTGGGCCATACCAACTGCATTGTTGTTGGACAAGTCTCCGCGGATGTCGGTGCGGAGCTTGGCAAGGGCGAGACTGCAGATAACTGCTTTGTTGGGCTCCGGGGCTCGGTGGCCCCATTGGTCTTCACGGTCGAATCCTCTGTATCGGATGTTAGAACCTGATATCGTTGCTTAGCGCGTGGAGCACTTACCCGGCTGTCAACATCTCAATCAGATGCTGCTCGGTTGAACCAATCTCTTCGCTTTTCCTGAGACCTGAGAAGATTCCGTCCTGTCTCAACAGCGATCGGCCAGCTGCTCGCTTGACTTCGAGCATTTCTTCATGTCCAATTTCAGGGCGCGGGGGGATGACATAGAAATCGAGATCCTCACGAAGCACGATGATACCGGCGCGATCCTGGAGCATGTCACGGGCTGAACCTTGTATGGCTTCAGGCATCTCCATCTCCGGCGAAGTAGAGCCAGATGGCAATGACGAGGGGATGGTTTGAGCAACTGTGCGGAAGAAGTCCAACATATACTGGAGCGAAGCCGGGTCGTACTGTATGATGGTTGTCAGAAGTCTGGCATTTATTTCCAATATGTAGGTCCACGTACATCGACGGCATAGACATCACTGTCATGGAATCCGTTTGTGGTGGCATGTCCATCCGGAAGTAGACCGTTAGGGAAAAGAGACAATAGAACGAATTCCGGCAGGGTTAGCAATTCGTCCCGCGAAAGAGTAAACCGGGTGCCACTATACACTGATTAAAAATGAAGAAATCAAACGGGTCATGTTGCAACAAGTCCTTACCGAAGGTCAAGCGTGATATGCTCATCACCGCCAATATCTGTATTGCTAATTAGCAACAGATAGCAAGCTCCAACAACTTTGCGCCAAATACATACCTCCCAGAGTATTGATTGGTGGACCTCCCGTTTGCTGCACCTGAGTGATGATGCTTGAAGCACCTCCTGCAGCAGCCATAACGTAGGTGAATGACTCAAGTGGACTGTAACCTTCTTCGTAGGGTGGAGGCGGTTCGCTGTCGTCGGAACACTTTCCGGGGCCCTCGTTTTTGGGTTCGGAGAAAGAAGCTTTTGTATCAGCAACAACCGCCGACGAAGGGGCCGGTTCGAGCGGCGCCTCGACTGGTGGCGGAGGTGCTACGGCTGGGTGACAGGCGGGACCAGGTTCGGTGACTTTGTTCGCGCGATTGGGGTCGGGCGAAGTAGCGAAGAAAAGGGATGAAAAGGGCGGTGGATTGGGAGATGAGGAGCTTGAGGCAGACGCTGCTGGAGAGTGCGGCGGGGGTGTGATGTAGTAGTCGTCGTGCTCCTCTGGGGAGTTCGCTGGCGGGTGCGGGCACGCCGTGTTTGATGAATGGGACGGCGGCGTTTCTCGCGACACCGTGCTTTATTTTGCCTGAAGCGACTCAGGCGTCACAGTTTGAATAACCCAAAATGATTATTGGGTCCCCTCGCGGTCTGGTCTGAGGTGAACACGCCCAAGACGATGTTAAGGAGTTGCGATGTCTGCCGTTTCTCGCACTAGCGCACAGAGACCCACACAATCTCTATACCAAAACAATCGGGATAATTATATCGCTTGGTGGACTTCGTCGTGGTTTAGGAATGTCAAAGGAGTTACGGAGTAGAGAGGTGAGAGCGCTTAGAGGTTGGGGAAGCGTAGATCGACTCGGCGGTAAGTCCGAGCGCCTCACTAGCCGTCACAAACTTGGCGGTCCAATCTACAAAACACGGTGGTATTGGCGATATATGTTTGATTGCGAGTGTATGGTTGTTATTATGGCTGCCGGGTAAAGGAGCATTTCAGCTATGAAAGTTGCAGCTGTACGGAGCACACGATATATATATGTTCTTCTATCTACTTATGCTATCAACCTTCATACAACCAAGTCATCTTGTCTGAGCAAATTTATTCCAAGGGTTACAATGGCTAGGGTGATTCTCAACACGGGAGACAAGTATGTATTGGTCTCATTTTTACTTAGATGCTTAGAATGCCTGACTCAGACTTTGCGCTCAGCAAAGCTCTGGATCATACCCTCAAGAGTTGGCTCATACTCCTTCAGGGTGACTTGATCACCCTCCAGGATAGTGTTGGCCTGAACAAAGATCTTACGAGGGACCTTGTTCTTAAGAACAACATCCCGCACCTTGGTTCCCCACCAGCTATCAACAGACGTGATATCATCATACAATCCCTTACCAGCGGCAATGTCTGCGGTGCTCTTGTATACGTGCAGCTTCTGGAGGTATTTCTCGACAGCGGGACGTCCATGAGTCAGAATCTTAGACCGATCGAGACGTATCTCTAGGTCGGACAGATCCTCCTTGCTGTAAGAAAGCTTGACGAAGTCATCACCGGCTGTGAGGAAGGTGCGCAGGATACTGTAACGGGCCTGCATGTGAGCCTGGCCCCATTTCTGGGTCTTGGGATCCCAGAACTCGAGGGCAACAAGACCGGCACGGGCCATGGACAAGTATGCTGCGAACAGAACGTCACCGGCTTCACTGTACAAGTCCTGCTTGCCATCGCCGAATCCGAAGATCTTCAGGATGCTAAAGTCGCAGCCCAGAGCCATGGCGACACACTCAGCACGACACTCTTCATATGATGAGGCAATAGAGCCAAAGACGGAGCTCCATGTTTGTCCAGGCTTGTACCAGGTTGACACAGGCTTATTGGTAACTGGGTTGATGGGAGGATTCTTAATATCAAAGTTATACTCCCCAGGCGCTGTCTCCTGGAGGAGCTTGCCAGTACCGTGGCCCAAAAGTTCGTGAATGCCTACTTGCACTTCGAATGCGGGATCGCGGCATCTGCGGTAGACATCCAGGTCGGCCTCACTAATGAAAGGAATAGGCTCGTTAGGAGCTTTGGCGCTCAGGACATTGCCCAGGGACACGTTCTTGAAGCCAAGATTCTGACGGATATCATCATAGTTGGGGAGGTTGATACCGGCCGGGAGGCCAGAGCAGGCAAAGCTCAAGACTTCCAAGGATGTGAAATCAGGGCTGAGGAAAGTGTCTTTCTCAAAGTCCTTGCCCCAGGGAAGCTTAGGTATCATGCTCTCAGCACTATCTACAAGCGTACCAAAGGCACGAGTTCGCTCCAAATTGACCTTCGAAGAGTTAGTCAAATGAGTGAACAGTGGCGGATGCGAGTCATACCAAAGCGACAAAACCCTCCCATTCACCTCGCACACCGTGAGGGTCTCTGTAGGTCTCAACGAATCCAAGGTTGGTTTCCAGAGCAGGCTTTTGGTCCTTCACCCAGATACGCTGGCTCTCCTTGAAAGCCTCAATAGATCCAGCACCGAAGGACAGAGCATAGGAGTCCAACATCCGCTTTTGGTTAGCATTTGCAGCGTTCAAACCGGCCTTCTTGACACTGTGGGCAATCTTCGCCATCTCTTCCAGGTGGTCACCAAAGACGAGACGCAGGTTCTTGCCTTTCAGGTCGCCTTCAAGGTCAAAAGTCTCCACCTCGCCAAGGTCACGGTCCTTAACAGGAGGAGATGACACGCCGGAGGCAATCAAGAGCTCAAAGTCACCGGAGGGTGTCTTGCGAATTCTGGTGTTCTCCAACGCCAGACCCTTCTTCTCCATCAAGTCACCGATTGCCGTGATTTCGCCCTTCGAGATTGTGGGTGAATCGGGGTAGTAGGTGGTCATGTGGCCGCCGTCAGGGTATCCAAGGTGCATCCTGGACTGTTCACTGGTCTCATAGATACCTCCTCCAGTGCTGTTTGCCTTCTGGAAAGCCGCCATAGTCTCCGGAGTGGATGATGCCAGAGCCTCGAGCGCGGATGCTGGGATCCGAGGGATAAACTTGGAGTCACCGAATCCTTTGTAGTTCCCGCAGTTGCCCAGGAATTGTCCTGCATATTCGAGGAAGAAGCGGAGATCGTCGGTGCTGACTTGTGTTTTCTGGGCGAGGCTGTCCCAGTCACCATTGGACGCGTGGTAGAGGGAGAGAATGAGGTCATAGATGGGCTCGGATTCGGGAGAGACTTGACGCAGAGTGACACGGGTGCCCTCAAATGCAGCCCTGTTCAAATTGAAGATCACGCATTAGCTCGTGACAACTCTAGCTGGGTGGGGGGGAGGTGCCTGGGACAGCGTACCTGCTCATGAAGTGCGCATATTTTCTGAGCTTTTGGTCCTTGAGGGTCTCAAAGTGAGACCTCACCTCCAATCTGACAACTGTAGGCGGCGAATCAGCCAGGTAATGCTGCTTAATGCTGTCATCCATGGCGGCACGGGAATGAGAATGTGAAGAGAATGTTGGAAATCGGGAAGGTGAAAGGCGGAGGGGTAAAGGTGATACGAAGCGCCGGGACAAGGGCACAATGCCACGCATCGAGTGCATGACGGGCTTGAAGTGGTAGCTATGACATAGTTGAGTCACCAATCAGGTACGTCTCTCTCTCGCGCCGCCGGGGGTCCGATCTACATGGCTTGGCAGGCCCACAGTGGAATTCATAGTTAAGTTACAGTTAGTTACAATATTTTTGAATTTGACTGTTTACTATGCAATATTTGACAGATCCTCGGCTATATCAGACTCTCATATTTGTCCAGCCCTTGCTTTTGACTTCCCTGAGTCGGAGGTGTGCTCTGGAACGATGCTGATCGCATTGTTGTGTTCACTGGAGGAGACCTCATGGCGTTGTTGGTTCCCATGTTCCCTGCAGGAGGAGGGGGTATCGAGAATGCAGAGTAGTTGGGTGCTTGTTGGGCCATCCTGGACATGGAGTTTGAGGGTGCCATGATCGACATAGAAGCCAACGACGGACCTCCGCCAATCTGGGGTTGGGGACTAGCAGGTGATCCCCAGATGGATGATGAAGGTTGCATTGCAGGGAACGCTTGAGAAGCTGGAGAGGTTTGCCGTGCAGGCTCGAGAGTCGGGAAAGTGCTCAATTTTTGATCCGGAGTGATGGAGCGGAAACCAAGATTAGACTGTTGGCTCAAAGAACCTGCTTGGGTTGGTTTGCCAGTATTGTTGGAGGACCATGCGAATGAAGATGACATGCTTGGAGGAGCTGGTTTGGCTGGCTCAGGCTCCATGCTGCCCCACATATCCATATCACCATTTGTTGGCGAAGCTTTCTTTCCAAGGACGAGGCGCTCGAAGTTGTTCCGAGCTCCATCTGTCTCAGACGAAGTAAGATCGGTAGCAGATTGCGAGAATTGGTCGACGCCGTTCTTGAACCCACTAGATTCAGCACCGGAGGAAAGTTCTTGCAGCTTTTTGGTTTGTTCTTGTTCAATCCTAGTGGAAAGGGATTTGATCAATGCCATGAAATCGTTGAACTGAGGGAGAGTTAACAGCGGCCCAAGACTGAAACTCCATAGAACCGGAAGCACTTCTAGGGCTAAGAAATCAGTGTCTGCGACAGTTCCAACTTGACGGAAGACCTTGAGTGCAGCCATCATCACCGAAGGCTCTTTTGTTTTGATCGCCTTTAGAGACGGAACAAGCTTTTCTTGAATAGTGTACTTGTCCAGGATAGAAGACTTGGCTGTTTTCGACTTGCTCGTCTGAATTCCGGAAAGATCATCGTCAAGCCCATTAGAATCATCCGGAGAGGCACCGCACAACACACTGAAAGCTTCCAGACTGCGAACCTTGATGGCAAGACTGCTGGTTTTGCTGAAAGTGCTAGCAATGGGAGGGAACACCTCATTCTTGACCGTACTAAAGTCGAGAACTGGGAGCACCACGGGGAGACATTTGATCGCAGCATCCACCAGGGAGTGCGTAGGCGAATCCAGACCAAGGCGGATCAGAGGTAGAATATCTAGAGAAAGGTCAGATGCGGGACGAGTGTGTGGATCCGGACGACTCACCGTCTTTGAATTCCATGCCGGAACAATTATCGGCAATAAGCTTCATATTTTCAAGCACAACCATAAGACCGGCATCCTTTTTGGAGTCTCGTTCAGTCTTGCCCGAATCAGTTCCGAAAACCTCCTTCAGACGAGGAATGATCTTTTCAGGGAATACACGGCGTCCATTCGGAATTCGCTGCAGAATACCAAACACATTCTGTAGAATTAGAGGGAGTAATTCTCGATCCTTCAGCTCGTCCATTAGTGCCCCCAATAACTTTCTTTCTAGCACGGAGACAGGAAATTCAGGCAGTACTCGCTGCAGGCCACGCAAGAACTGAGATTTTTCATTTGGGTTTTTGGCTGGCAAAGATTCCAGAAACCGAATCGTGGAAACCAACACATTGTCGAAGTACTGAGATTGCTGGAATTCTCGAGCATTCATGCGCTGAGCAGGCCTCCTCGTAATGAGCCTTGGTAGAACATGAGACAGCACATCTTTAGGAATTGGTTTTGAGCACAGAAAGTTGTTGCCCTGGGACGGAGTGGAAGATGGAGAGCTAAGCAGCTTCTTATATGTAGTCAAGTTCGCGTTCGTTTGTAGAGGCGAGACATGCGGCGAGTTGTACAGAGCGATAATAATGAGACCCAGAGAGAAGAGATCGGCAGCTGAAGATACATTTGAGTCCAGGGCAAAGTCAGGCGATGTGTAGTCAATGTTCAATTGGACCGAAGCAGGGAGCCTTGGGTCTTGATAGAGAACCTCGGATACAGCTAATGGCGGCAATGGTGACTTAGTTTCCGAAGAGTCCGGAGGCCCTGCAAATCCCAAACCAGAGATTTTCCAATCTGATTTGGCATTGATATAGATAGCCTCTGGGTTCAGGTTTCCATGCACCAAGCCCGCGGACTCATGAAGGAATTCGAGACCCTTTGCCACTTGCAGTAGTCCCTTTTGGATTTCCAGTTCATCAATTTCCACGTCTCTTCTTCTCCGGGTCCCGTCTGCCTCCTCAACCATGTACCGGGTTGTTCGCGAACCGCCTCGTGATGTGTTCTCTTGGTCATCCTTCTCCAGAAGCAGCCCAGAGAGTGATGCTGTGAGATGTTCCGTCGCAAACATAAGGCCACCACTTCGTGTGTCTTCCACCGGCTCAAGCACCTGGAGAACAGACGGGTGTCGTAGGCGGGCAAGATTACTCGCTTCGCGTTTGAGTCGTTCGATCACATCTTCCTGGAGCTTCTTGGAAGATCCGGAACTTCTCCCAAACCCACCAGAACGCGACTCAAGTGACTTGCGATCAAATATGAATACTGATGCGGGAGTTCCTGTGGACTTTTTCTTTGCGTCGTGGATTTTCCAGGGGCCGGAGTAAACAGTGGGGTTGGGTGAGATCTGGTAATTGGCGGAGATGTTGGAGCTGAACGACTTGAGCGCGGAGGAAAACATTGTGGAACTGCAGGCGCAAATTGATCTGCTATGGGGCAGAACAAGTGAAGGCAAAGGCTCGTTTCACAGTGTCGTCACAGAGAGTCAGCACAAGACATGACTTCGTATCAACACGGTGGCATCGAATGGGGGGATTGGTAAGACAGGTGGACCCGCTAATGCCTAACCACGAACGGATAGCAATATCAACTTGAGGCTTCACAGCTCTGCCCGGGTCACCAAAATGATCACAATGGATTGTTATCGTTTGGCGTATCGCGACCGCAGTCACGTGCATACTCTGCCTCAGGCGTGAAGTACCGAGACAAGCCGAAGTCGGCGGGTCGATCTAATTTGGAGCTTCTGATTGGCCACACCTGCAGCTTAAAAGCTGAGTCATTGCTGTTTTGCGGGGCGGTGAGCCAAATTAACCCGCTTGGGGCCGAGTCGGAGTTGTCGCTGAGCTCCGCAGAGCGATTCATTTCTAGTGCGGAGTCATCTTGGTCCAGATATAAAGACCATTGACCTGTGCGCAGTCTACGGTATGTTGATATCCCCTCTTAAGTGACTCAATCATCATCTCCCATCTCCACTCAGTTCCTGGCTGGCCCTTGAATTGTCTCTGACATTGCCACAGTCATGAAGTCGTTCCAATTAGCTCGCCGACAGGCGCTGACCGGGCTTGCTATGCCCCGCGCTCTCTCCTCGCAGAACATTAACGCCAGCCGGACATGGAAGCGAGCTTTCAGCGCCTCCGCGGCCGCTGCCTCTCAGCTTCCCGGCCTCGACCCTTCGAAGTTAACCGTCACCAAGACCACCACCCCCAAAGAGCTTATGGACTCCAAGGACCTTGTCTTTGGCAAAAATTTTACGGGTGAGAGCTTTTTGATGAGCAATTGATCTATGTGTGCTGACTGGAGCCTTCTATAGATCACATGCTCTCCGTGGAGTGGACAGCTACCGACGGATGGCACACACCTCGCATTATCCCCTACCAGAACCTTAGCTTGGACCCCTCAACCTGTGTGTTTCACTATGCATTTGAATGCTTCGAAGGAATGAAGGCATACAAGGACGACAACGGTGGTATCCGTCTGTTTCGCCCTAACAAGAACATGGAACGTCTGAACAAGTCTTCTGCGCGTATTGCCCTCCCCACCGTGGACGGCGATGCGTTGATTAAGATTATCGGAGAGTTCGTGAAGTTGGATAGCCGATTTATCCCTGCGTGAGTGCATCTTTTCTGCTCAGATAGATGTTTTTGCTAACCGTTACAGCGAGCGTGGTTACTCCTTGTACCTCCGCCCTACCATGATTGGTACCCAGAAGACTCTGGGCGTGGGTCCCCCCGGATCCGCCCTTCTCTTCGTTATTGCCAGTCCTGTTGGGCCTTACTACCCCACTGGCTTCAAGGCCATCTCACTGGAGGCCACTGACTACGCCGTCCGTGCCTGGCCCGGCGGCGTTGGTGACAAGAAGCTTGGTGCCAACTATGCTCCCTGCATTTTGCCTCAGCTCGAGGCTGCATCCCGTGGCTTCCAGCAGAACCTGTGGCTCTTCGGCGAGGAGGAATACGTGACCGAGGTCGGCACTATGAACCTCTTCATTGCCCTGAAGAACAAGGAGACCGGCCAGAAGGAGCTTATCACTGCTCCTCTTGATGGTACCATTCTGGAGGGTGTCACTCGCGACTCTGTCCTGACTCTTGCACGTGAGAGACTGGGCCCTAAGGGCTGGAACATCTCCGAGCGCAAGATCAGGATGTCCGAGGTTGCCGAGGCTTCCGAGGAAGGTCGCATGATCGAAGTGTTTGGTGCAGGCACTGCTGCTATTGTCAGCCCTGTCCGCAACATCAGCTACAGAGGCAAGATGGTTGAGTGTGGTCTGAAAGAGGACCAGGAGGCTGGTGAGATTGCTCTCCAGATGAAGAACTGGATCGAGGGTATCCAGTATGGTGACGAGCAGAACCCCTGGAGGTAAGTTGGCAAGGAAACGATTCTATACAAGCTGGATGATTTACTGACTGCTCGATAGTGTCGTGATCTAAGACGCATATGTTGGATAAAAGGGCTTCTTTACCCGGTTTTGCTTCTACTATCGCGGTAGCCTTCAAAAGTCCTTTGCCAGAATATTTCTTTTCTCTTTTTGGTTTAATTTGCTTGGAGACCTTTTAAAGTGCCATGCTACTGAGCAGCAGAGGCATCTTTACATATTCATCTGGAGCCTGGTTCTTTATAAAGAGATCTTCCGTTACTATTATTGTTATATATATATATATTTTTTATTTGCTATTCAAGTCATCAATGTTGTAGAGATATCTTTGTGAAGATACCGTTCCAATTGTAAGGAGCCGGTCTTAGTTTTAGAACATAGGAAAAGATCAGAGGAATTTTAACATGGATTGGAATGTCTTTACTCGGCAAGCATTTACGCCCAAACCTCGGCGGGACACCTCCCTTGCAAACATGGAATGTGATATCAGTAGTTGGACGTTCATTCCCTAAACTCGACGTGAGCAGATGCCAATTTTTTCTTTAATCCGTCGGGAATATCATCGGCTTCAATATCGATTGCAATGAGATCAAGGCCCGCCTTTTGTCTGGCCTTTGCCTCGTTGACAGCCATTCGTGCTCTAGGAACAACGCTCCACTGGAAAGACTTTTGCAGGAATGTCTCCTTTGAAGCAATTTCCTGATCGCGATCTTCGTCTGGGAGGAATAGCAGGTCAACTGATTCCAAGTTGAGATATGAAGTCTCCGGGTAGAAACACCACACGATAATTGCAGTGACGAAGTTGAAGACTGCGAAGATAATGTATGTTTTATAGCCAATATTTTCTAGAGCCGGAGGTGTAATTTCGACCACCTGTGGCGAGTCAGAACGATTTACTTCAGCACGTCGAAAAGAAAGAAAGAATATACTCACCAGAAAGTTTCCAAGGAAGTCTGCTGCAGCTGCGAGCGCAGCTCCCTTTGAGCGAATCTTTAGAGGGAGGATTTCCGCTGGGTATACCCATACTGTAGCCATCCAACCTGTGATATGCACCAATTAACATAGGGAGAGAAAGTGAGATATTCAAGCGATTGGGCTTACCCCATGTAAAGCAAGCTTCAAACGCAAAGATGAAGAAGACAGCAGCAATAGCAGACCGTTGATTATCGGCCGCTACTGTTACAGCCTCACAGATCAACACAACACACATCCCAAGTGACATGCTAATGTATAGCCGCCGACGACCAACTGCGTCGATCATATACCACTGCGAAGATCAGAAATGTATACCGAGGAACTGAGAAGCACAACAAACCGTCAAAAACGAAGCTATGATATACCACACCTGGAGGAAGCAGCTGACAAAAAGTGCCCGCTCTTGTGTCATGTTTAAAGAGCTCTTTAGCAAGGTGGGAGCATAGTAAGTCACAATGTTGATTCCTGTTTGATCAGTGAGAGTTCGGTACCCAGTCCGAGCATGAAATCTCACCAGAAGTCTGCTGCATGAATTGGATTCCAACTGCCAAGAAGAACCGCTTGTTTGCTGAACAACCTCCATCTGAGAAAAGTGACTTCCAAGACCCTTCCTCTTCAGCTTCGATATTGATTGCGGAGAGAATCTCGTTCTTCTCCTTTTGCACCATTTGATCATCAGTCGGTTTATCACGCAACTTTGACAAAACATAGGTTCCTTTCTCTGGCGTTGCCTCGTGCAACATAAGCCACCGTGGTGTGTCTGGTAGGAAGGGTGCAACGACGAGAATGTAAATCGCAAAGACAGCTTGAAACAGAATAGGGAACCGCCATTGCACAGCCCCGGGGTGAAAGTAGAAGCCATAGTTGACCCAATAGGCCAGCATTAATCCGAACAACATTGTTGATAGTTGGCATGATAAATGCCATCCACGTTGACTGGGTAGACAGATCTCGCTTTGGTATACAGGGGCGACGGAAGTGAGGAATCCGATACCTATAAGATGAGATACCATAAATATTAGAGCATGCTCAGAGCCCTTATGCTCATAGAATTTGACCTACCTAAGCCAGTCACGATTCTACCAACGATCATCTGAATCCTCTCCACGCAACAACCCATTAGTACAGCACCGATAACAATGAGAGCTGCCCCGATAAGTAGCCCGCGCTTTCGTCCAAGCCTTTCAACCGTCAAAGCAGCACCAATGGCTCCAAATACTGCGCCAATATCGTAGAGAGCAGTGATAGTGCCCGTCATAACGGTGCTAGGGTGTCCCATGGCCTCGAGCCAATACTCGGAGATTACAACCCCAGACATAACACCTTGGTCATAGCCAAAAAGCAAAAATGACGAAGCACACACTGATGTAATAGATGCCACCAGCGGAGCACCTTTTAGGGCACTCAGCCCCGTCCTGTCAGTCATAACGAGCACTCGAGAGTGATATCTCGTTGGAAAGCGTGTCAAAGGTGGGTTAAAACCAAGAGAAAAAGCAGCACAGGGCAATTCCTTCCCTTATGAATGGACGTAGAGTACTGTCTTTTATATGTGGACCAGTGGACCATATCACTCAGGCCGTGTGCTCAAGTATGAGGCATTTGCCATCGACATGCGTGGGGGTGGATCCGTAGAATGTGGGGGATGCTCACATTCGTCCATCGAGATTGCAGTTGTACTGGATTTGGACAATAGACTGAATATCAAGCATTAACCAAGCTTCGCGGGCTGTAGTTAGACTGGATTGGGGCATGGTTTGCTTGCCGATAATCCACTCCCCCGCTTTACCGGTCAAGCATTCCGCCATCTTTGCGAGACACCCCTATTCGACGTATTCTTTAGGAGGTTGTACTGTCACCACATGAGAAAAGCACTGCTTTTGAGATGTTTCTGAGGTTATCTTGAACATCCATCGTTTATGTGGTGTTTCAATACAGGAATCTTGTGCAGGGTTGTAGCACCGAAGTATAGCCGTGTCCGAGGATATCAAAATGATCCGCCTCCTACATTCTTGGACAACTGGAATCCTTACCGTCTGGAGCTTAGCGCCGGATAAGTATTAGCCTTGTGTGCCAGCGGAATTGAATGACTTATATGGCAGACACTACTGTATGATTTGCGCTGATCAACTTTCTGCGGTATCACTTATTGTTGTCTCTCCACAGCCACGGACTTCATCCGAGGCCAGGGTAATTGCCTCATTCCGAATAACCGAGTTCAGGACTTAACGTTGAGGATATGTTTAGCTGTGTCGGAAACTAGCCGATATTGAAATATGCTCAAACAATCTTACTCTCTTATCGTAAACGTGGTATGTCTGTGCCCCAAGAACTGGGTCCCATAACAGTCTCTAATATTAAAGGGGAATGGGTATATCCTATCAGCTCACAAACTGTCTTTACGAAATATTGGTTCTCTCAAGGTATTAAAAGCCGAATCATCTCACTGTAGCACCACTTATCGTTGGTAACAAAAAGTTCGGATCCTGTAGATGTTTGATACTTGGGGCCACCAAAATCTTATTATGTATCATTCATAGAACGTATCTTGTGATGATTATTATGTCTTCTCAGTGGGGTTACACGGAAAAGATGTCTTCCAGAGTACCGGCCAAGCTTTCATGATCTTTAAGTTTGACTTCGATCGTGCACACTTTGCTTGGCAGAACTGAGGTGCAAGACTCGAATGTAAGCACCCGAGGGAATGAAAGCCTCAAAGAATTTGGGACTAGCCCACCCGCTGTGACCATAGAACTAGAGTAAATATAGAGTTGTTGACTAGGCAAAATTCCGCCCAGCTGAAGGCCCGCCTATCTATCTCTAAATCGCATCACATTAACTGGTGGTCTTTGTTTGGGAATAGCCAAGTATGTATCATGAATTCATGACCCGAGAGTGAAGTCTCGATTCAGCTGCCACCATAACTAGTCTAGTGAAAGAGATGCCTTGTGATATTCTCATTGCAGAATTGAAACAAGATATCATCCCTGTATGCAAAGTATGAACAAGCTGGCAACCATATTTGCCTCTCTGCATTGCGCACCAACGGACCATATCCGTGATTAAGATAGAAATAAGAACAATGTTACCTTTAATTCAATAAACTATGTGACGACCGAAGGCAAACTGGGTAAAAGCGCATGTCTTAGCATGAAACAAACTCCCCAGCTACAGCCCAAAAGCAGACCTCGGACTGGCAATCCAAGCAGCGTATGTCAAATTCTACGTTTTGACCTTGCACAAACACAGTGCTGACAACCCCAGCCACCCGTACGGCCCCACCAGTCTCCCAGGAAAGCTGCATCAATACTGGGTCCCTAATCCATCTATAGAGAGAAAAGGATCCTAACCTGGAAATGAGCCATGGTGGCTAAATACAATCTATACAAAGCGCCAACTCGCGTAACGGCTCAATTGATAGGCCAGTCCAGAACGACCCCGATAACTGAATATTAAGAACAACCAAAATAGCAACTGAAGATCCCTGTCTGCAACTAAGCCCAAAATAAGGTAAGATAGGCGACATGCAGCAGGTGGAGCACGTGGAGACGGCTAAACCCAGATGCGACAATAGAAGCGAAACCGAAACCACACTGCAAAGGAACAAAAGGACAATGGAGGAATGACGCGACCGGCTTTTGTCTCCCTGAATCACTAGGTTTCAGGCTGGCTCTGTACGCTCTTGGCTGCAGATCCAATGGCAGAATTTATGATGATCGCCGGAGTACAGCAGGCGTTTCGTGGTAGAAGAAGGGAGGGGGGGGTGTGTTTGGTAATTTCATAGGTCAAGTTGATTGATGTAGTGCTTTCGAGGTTGCAACGAACGAAAGAGTGGGTTTCTAATTCTATACTCCTGCATATAATCCTATCCATGCTTTGACACGCGCAAAAATGGGCGGGATGGCCACGGGGTAGAATGTCAGCTTCTTATCTTAGATACTCCGGAGAGTGCCTGCGTCTATAGATAGGTTTGTTCCCTTTAACATTTACAGGAGTTTAACAGGAGTTAAGTGCCGAGTGATTCTGTCCTCGTGATACCTGAGGAAGAGCACATACTCACCTTGCCTGTTTTGCAGACTCATTCAAGGTTGGATCCTGCTTTGACTTCGATTCGGAGATTGTCTTGTTTGGTACCCCTTCCAGCTCTCGGCGCCTTGTCCAGGCTGTGTGATTCATTTAGGTGCACCGATGGGGGGTATCGGATGGAGTTGGCGTCGCCAGTAGACTTTTATCCGCTTCCCACTCGGTCTATTTGAAGTTTAGTGTAACTTCGATGCGCTGTCTGCAAGAGCGACAACGTGTTAGCACAACCCAGGAGGGTCGGAGATTGCCGTCATCGATTTGCTGTGACACCGGGATCGAAGCGAGAAAAGCAAAGAACGAAAACAGACAAGCCCAAACAATGACACCATTGTGCTCCGACTGCAGATGCGTGTCATGGGGGAAAGGAGGTGTGTGTGTTCTCCGAGCATAGCAAGGGCTGGGGCTGCATGGTAGGTCCACCGCCAGGAACATTCTTCTAGATTGTTACTAGAAGGCTCAAAATGCAACTCCAACCAAGCATCCGGGGTCCAGCGTGGACGGTGAGTGGTGGGAATCCCTGCATCAGGCAGACTGGGCACAGGGATGGCTGTGCAATCTTGAAATTCCAGCTGGAGACGCGGACAGCATGAGCGGTGAAAGGACTAGAGAGACATCATTGTACCGGGTACCTGAAAGCTGCTGTGCCTCATCTAGAGTAACACCGTCCAGCGATGCCTCCGAATTAACTCGAACAGGAATAAGAAGGTCCATCGGTCAGGCTACTCAGCCCTACCGCGGAGAGAATACGAGACTATAGCGACGCACTGGTAGACGAGGTAACCAACAAAACAGAGGAGCCTCGCACGCGGATTGGTGGACCACCATACCATGTAAGGCGTCCTATTCATAGCCTAGTCTGTCTCACCTTGGGAAGAGCCTCCTCGGCGTGTTCGTTGGCCCCCTCATTTCCTACCAGGCCTGTCGGGACCGACAGAATGCGCTTTGGGGGTCGGCGTCAAGCCTCCGGATAGCCCGAGCGCGACAAATGATCATCTTAGGAAACGGGTGTGGATCCTCCGCAAGGTATACCTCCTTAGGTATCCAGTATGTCCGCCAATTAGGCAACCAGAGCACGCGCGGACAATAAAAGAATAAATAAAAGACAAACAAAAAAAAAGGTAAAAAAGCAAAAAGACCAGAGACCAAAAGACATCAAATGCCCTGATAAGCGTTACATTGGACAGTTTTCAGATGAAAGTGGCTCTATTCCGGGAGTGGTTAGGGCTAAAATAATACTATACGAGCCACCCAATGACGCGACAGGCACTGAAAGGGTGTTTGTAGGCGATACAACCGGGTTTCCGGCCAAGTCTAAGTCTCGAGTCCCTTTAAGTGAAACGTTAGATTTGCGTAGGTCTACCCTTGGAAATGTAAGTGTATGGCAGGTCAGATCTTTATCCCCTTAGTCTGCCAAGCGTAGAGAGACCCAAAAAACGTGGCATGGCCGTGCACATAGCCCCCACGTGAGGAAATAAGGAAAGGATTAAAATAATTAATATTTACTATTAAATGCCAGTATTAACTGTTAAGTGCATTATTAACTATTAGTATTAAAATGTTGGCCCGTTTCACCCGTGGGCATATCCTGTCTCGGGCCAGTTGAGACCTTTGTTATCGCGTCCGGCCCAACTACAATATTCCGTGCGACATATGATCTGAGATTCCCAGGGGTTTGAGGGTTTTAAGTGTACGACGTGACCATTTATTAACGGGAGTAAATTAGTAAATTAGGGGGAGGCTGAACGGGGATCCTTGTCAAATGAAATATAAATAAAAAAGAAAAGATTTAACTGGTTTTGATCGGGACTTTGCACATGGCATCGAGTCTAATTCGAGCACGGACTAGGCTGGCTATCACTACGAAGCTGCAAGGCCCGAAAATCCAATTCCAGCTGATCGGGCTTAAAGGGCCATACTCCGAGACTCTATATAATTAGTTTCAACTCCACCTCCACCTTCTTCACTTTCACACCTATTTCTGTACATCCTTTTTTCCCATCATGCATCGCTCTTCTTATGATGGCCGTTCAGGCTCCCGTGGCAGTCACTCCAACAGCAGCGCATTCAGTCCCAACGCCAACCCTAATGAAGACTGGACCAAGATTTCTGATCTGGCAGAGCGTCGTCGCATTCAGAACCGTATCGCTCAGCGGAATTATCGTAAGTACTTTCATGGCTTGGTCTTGGAGTAGAGTCTAATCACGGCGCCAATATTAGGCAAGAAGCTGAAGCGTCGCTTGGAGGATCTCGAGAGACGAGCTGCGACATCCGCATCCCCCGAACAGTCCCATGCAGAGCCAGTGTCACCCAAGGCATCCCCCTCTAAGACCCGAACAAAGCAACGAG